CACCCTACAGTGCAATCAGAGCGCGTGGTCATTCCTTCCTTAGCTCCTGACCCCTCTACCGGGGACACCCACCCCTGCCCCATTAAGGCTCATTATTATGATTATTTTTAATGTTTATTTCTGAGAAAGAGAGAGAGACAGAGCATGAGCAGGGGAGGGGCAGAGAGAGAGAGAGAGAGAGAGAGAGAGACAGAATCTGAAGCAGGCTCCAGGCTCCAAGCTGTCAGCACAGAGCCTGATGCGGGGCTTGAACTCACAAACCATAAGATCATGACCTGAGCCGAAGTTGGACGCTTAACCAACTGAGCCACCTAGGGGCCCCTTTAAGGCTCATTATTGATGTCATGTCCTCCAAGAAACCCTCTCTGAACCCTCAGGCCTGGGTCAGTGTTTTCAAATGTAAGTTTTATAATTATTCAGGCATAATGAGGCCGTCAGATCGGGAGACAAGTGCCCACTGAAGACATCGTTCCTTACCCACAGTTCCCGAGAAGGCACGCCATGCCGGGTAAGACCACAGAGTGAGGCATCCCAGTTGGTCAGGAGGCAGGGGAGCAAGGAAAGGGTAGGATGTGGACAAGAGCCTTTACTGTGGTTCCGAGGGAAGGAACGGGTGAGGGGGGTAACTAGGCTTAGGATCGGCTAGTTTGGATCATTTCCGTAGGCTCTGGGCCACTGGGGCTCTCTGTATTTGTTTAATATCTGGCCCTGGGGTGATTCACATAGGGGGACAGTGGTCCTAAGGGTGAAAGTCCAATAAAGGTAGTGATGGGATATGGGCTCTGGGTTGGTTGGTTTGCAAGTGAAAAGTCTCGCTCATAGACACGTGTTTTACCATCCCCAGGAACTGACTAACCCTGAGAGGGACGGTCCCTCCTGGGTCAGTCAGCAAGACGTCAAGATGCCGGATCATCAGGATAAAAAGACATGTTTCTGTAGTCGGCTGCCCCTGCCATGAACTCCTGCAGCTCACCGAGCTTGACCCTTGACTTGTCCGTCACGCTGTACTGTCGTAAGGGCAGAGGTAAACCTCCCAAAGCAAAGCGTCTGCGCACAAAAGATGATGGGGGGGCAGCTCACAGACAACGTTTTGTGCTCATGTGCATTAGAAATAAACCAGCATACCAATGTGTTATTTCATCAATAAAATAAATTTAGAGAAGATGGCTAAATAAAGAACATTCCAGGTTGGGGGAGGATTTGAAAGTGCACAGGTGGTTCTCATCCTCTACTTTGCTCCCCCTTTAGCCCCAACCCCCAGCACAAACCTGATGCTCAAACTTTGTTTAAATGTGTGAATGGGGCAAGCCCTAGGCCACCCAGTTTGTCATCACCCCACTCTCCCGGAAGTCTGGGAATACTAGGATGGGCCGGGATAGAGCTGAGCGGTTGTTTTGTCTGAGCTTTGTTGAGCCGATGAGCCAGAGAGAAGAAGGCTTCCCCGAGGCCCCACAGCAAGTCAGTGGCCAGGGTCTGACCCAGTCTAGGGCTCCTCACTTAGCACTGAGACCACCCCACCCCGGCCATACAGGACTCCGTTCAAGGGCAGGACCCACCCTCTGCTTCTTGGTGGAAACCCCTGCCTGTCTTCTGGCTCATACGCCACCTCAGCCAGAGGTCTGGTCTACAGGCTGCACCCCACCTGCAGCAACCTGGACCCTGGTGCACAGAGAGCCCCCCACCCCGGAGAGCCAGGCAGTCCTGATTTGGGCACTCACAGCCTCCCACTGTGCACACACAGGCCCACTGGGTCCTGAATCTTCTAGAATGAGGTTCCTTAGAGCCGGCATTCAGGCTCTGAGGTCAAGACACTCCAAACGGCCAGGACTCTGGGCCTCTGGGTGTACTTTCCACTTAGGGAGGTTAAGGTCATGTCCAGGGGTCACACACAACTAGTCCCAGAGCCAGAGTCGGAATTGGATGTTCTTTCCTGGGTACCCCACTTCCCCCCACATGGGTGACTGGATGGAGGGGGCTGAAATGGGCTCCCTGGGAAGCGAGGGAGAAACTTGTCCCTGGGGTGTTCGAGAAAATGGCTAAGCCACCAGAATCCCCCTGTACCGGGCATGGGAGATTTTGGTACGAGGTGGTTCTAGCTGAGAGCTGTGCTCTTTGGAGTTCGATGTCTGAGCCCCCAAAGGCCTTTGCTCTTGGGGTGTCTGGCTTGGCTGGGCCCATGGGGCATATATCCCAGCACACGGGGCACCACCGGGAAGAGGCCTTCAGAGAAACTTGCTGGGAGCTGTTTCCATTTCTTTGTATTAGTTGTCTTTGCCTTTGGCTAATAGCTCAGCTTGACAGAGCTCTATGGGGTTGTATGTGCAGAGGGCTTTGGAGATGAGCTGAAGGCCTGTGGGGGGTGATAGACACAACCAAAGCCAGGGTCCTGCTTAGGGGCGCTGGGGAGTGTGGCACTCTGGGACACTTCCCTAGAGTGGCCACTAGAGAGCGCCCAAGGGCCAGCTCCCAGCTGTGCCCCAGAAGGGGTGCCTGGAGGGTGTTTCTAGGCTTGCCCATGATGGACAAGATGGTCCAGGACAAGGTATTTCAAACTCTTTCACTGGAACCTTACGTGGGACCTACATTCCAGGGACAGGTAGCTGAGAAAAGTTTGGGGTGAAGGGAGAGAAGCGGCAAAGCAGAAATCTGTCCACTTGTGCACAGATATCTGCTGACATGAGATGGTGACCCACACAGAAACAGATACACACATGCATACGTGAACACGTGTGTATACACACACACACACACACACACAGTGCTCACCCATGTGCATAGGCTGAGCAGTGGGTAGGGACTGGTACATCCATTTATCGAGTCAAGAGATGTCTTTTGAGCACTTCCTAAGGGCTGAGTTTGGTTGCTGGGTCCTGTGGGGATACAGGAATGGGAAAGGCACCGGAGAACACCCCACAGAAACCAACTACTCTCCCGAGCAGAATGTGGGGGTCAGGGGAGGTAGAATCACAGATCTGAGGGTGAGGAGGGAGGGACATTTAGAGGTGCCTCCTATTTGTGGAGAGTTTTATATAGTTCTAGAACTCCGTTACAAGTAGGCAGATCGGTTACTTTCCTGTTTCACTTTATAGTTTGCATGACTCAGGAAAGGCCACACGTGAAGACCCTGGAGGAAACAGGTCTCGGGTCTTACGAGCTGCACTGCCTCCAGGCTGCTCTTACTGTAGCTGGGACTTCTGTGAGCCCTGGGGTGGAGGTCCAGGACTTTGATGGACCGAGACTCCCAGGCATGACGGATGTGGCCCCGCCACCCCACCTCCTGGCTTCCGGCCTGGGCTTTGCAGACGAGGTCACGGAGTGCACTGCAAGATTCTGCCACGGCCCCCGGAATGAAAGCTCTTGACTTTGTCCCTGACTTTTAGGCAGTTCTTAGTTGTCGGAGAGAGCTGATTAAAAATCATCTATCAAGAGGGTCACCTGGGTGGCTCAGTCGGTTGAGCGTCCAACTTCGGTTCAGGTCATGATCTCATGATTCATGAGGAGGAGTTCAAACCCTGCATTGGGCTCCCTAGTGTCCGTGTGGAACCCACTTTGGATCCTCTGTCCCCCTCTCTGCCCCTCCTTCTCCCTCTCTCAAAAATAAATAAAACATTTTAAAAAATCATGTATCAACAAAACAAATCATCAGGCATGGTTTTAATAATGTAAAACTCTCCAATTTTTTAAATTTATTTGGAGAGAGAGAGTGTGTGCGCGCATGCAAGGGCAGGAGGGGCAGAGAGAGAGAGGGAGAGAATCCCAAGCAGGCTCCATACTGTCAGCGTGGAGCCCGACTTGGGGCTCGAACCCACGAACCGCGAGCTCATGACCTGAGCCGAGACCAGGAGTCAGACGCTCAACTGACTGAGCCCTCCCAGGCACCCCCAGACTCTCCACTTGTTATTTAAATATTTTTGTCGAAACACTCCTGGACACTCGAGCTAGAAAACAGAGCACCCCAGAATGCCAAATCTGGGAGGGATCTGAGAAGCTTCCAGTGCAATCTTCTCCTCTGACAGACGAGGCCTGAGGACTTGGGGGTGGACTCTTCACGGAGGCCCTCTTAGCGGATCTTCCGGGTTACCCCGGCTGCTGTAAAGAGACGTGGAAACAGGACAGCTCCGCTCCCCTGAGGAGCATGGCCTAGGACCTGCCACCCTTCCCAGAGCCCCTCGGTGAGCACCACCCCCACAGCCCCCAGCTGTGCTCAACCAGGCCTGGAACAGGAAGTGCTCGGAACCTTCCCTGACGTTGCCATGGCGCCCACGACCCGGAAACCAAGGGCAAGCTCTCCCCGCCAAAGCACCTTGGCCCCTAAGAAGAGAAGGGTGAGCCCCAGATGTCATGAGCACTCTTGGGATTCAGAGTCGGAAGGTGAACGGCCCGCAGCAAGCCTGTAGTTCAGAGACCGGTGCAACGAGAGTGTCTCTGTTCCACAAGCTTCTCCGGTAAACACACCCGTGGCGGCGAGGGGGCTTGAGAGCAGTAAGTATGGCTGGTGCTTTTCCATCCCCGTTAGAGAAGGAGGGGGTCCCTAGCGACCGGCACTGCCCGGGCTTGGTAGGGAGGGGCTTCGGGGGCTCCAGGCTGGGAGGCAGGAAGGCCTGGAAGCCGAGGGACCAGCACAAATAGCAAATTCTGTGACCAGCCTACTTACAGACCTCCTTCGGTTCCTATCCCTTAGTTAAGGGCGAAGAACTGTGGGTTCTCTCCCGTTTGGCCTTATTGGAGCCACGTTGCCAGCACAACAAGCAGAACTTTGTCAGTCTCCTGGCGGCCTTTAAAAAGTCCGAGATTCTTCTCTTGATTTGCTGAATAACCCACCCTCCAAGTTTCCCCGTGATTACTCTTGTGGCAGAATACAGAATCTCCGGGCTAATCTCCGGTTTAGAAGAGACCCTTGGGAAAGTTCTTGAAAATGGAAACCTCACCTCTTTTTTCTCCCAGGTGTTTCTTCCCCCCCCCACCCCCCGCACGCCCGAGGGTCATTGCCACTACCGCTCATGAAAATGCTGAATCCGGTGAGTAGACGAATTTCCCCAGGGGGCAGGTGGTGGGGAGCAGCGGAGGCATCTGCTCGCGGCTGTGCCGCCAACGTTGCCACAGGGGGATGGGTCGCACCACCGAGGACCCCCCAGCTTTACCGGCTGACCCCGCTGTCAGAGCAGTCCCACTGCCCGAGCCGGCCACTGTTCCCGTCTGACGCTGCACGGGACTGCCTCTACATCCCCACTCCACCCTGTCCCATCGCCCACCATTTCCAGGCACTAAAGCGTCCTTCCCAAACTTCATCTGACCGTGTTAACTTCATCACCGTCACCGTCATCATATGAAAACCAAGAGACTCAAAGGTTAAATGACTTGCCTTAAGGCCATACAACCCGCTAGTGGCGATAACAAGATTTGACCTGAAACTCTCCATCCCATGGCCCCTGGTCTCCCCACCCCCCACCCTGCTGGTGACTGGCGTGGCTTAGGAACAACTGTATCCGTTCCTGGGGGGGTCCCTCGTGGTCCACTTTTCCTGGCGAGGTTTCTTTGAGCCACCACGTCTAAGGTTATATTCCAAATATTCTACTGCTCCCCTAAGGAAACCGCTGAAAGGGTCGCTCCGTCAGTTAAGCGTCCGACTTCGGTTCAGGTCACGATCTCACGGTTCGTGAGTTCAAGCCCCACATCGGGCTCTGTGCTGGCAGCTCAGAGCCTGGAGCCTGCTTCGGATTCTGTGTCTCCCTCTCTCTCTCTCTCTCTCTGCCCCTCTGCCCCTCCCCTGCTCATGCTCTCTCTCTCTCTCTCTCAAAAATGAATAAACATTAAAAAAAATTATTTTAAATAAAGGAAACTGCTGAAGCCCTAGGACCTCAAGGAAATGTCTCAGTAAAAGTCTCTTCCCAGTGGCCCAGCCGTCCATTCCTGAGCACACACCCAAAAGAATTGAAAACAGGTGTTCAAACGGAAACTTGCACACAAATGGTCACAGCAGCATCGTTCACAGTCACCAAAAGGGGGAAACAACTCAAGTGCCCATCAGGTGACGAATGCATAAACGCAATGCAGTCTCTACGTCTCTACATATGACGGAATATTATTCCCATTCGGGGAGTGAAATTCTGACACCTGCTACAGCAGGGATCGACACTGAAAACACTACGAAAGAAGCCAAGCCTAAAAGCCCACATAGTGTATGATTCCACTTATGTAAATATTCAGAATAGCAGATCCACAGAAGCAGAAAGCAGATGAAGGGTGGCCAGCAGCTGGGGGAGGGGAAGTAGGAGTGACGGCTTAATGGGTATGAGATTTCCTTTTGGGGGAATGCACATGTTCTGAACTGGATAGCAGGGGGGCCGCGTGGCCTCGTAAACAGACCAACTGCTACCGAGGTGTATGCCGTAAAATGGTGAAGGTTCTGTTTTGTGTATTTTGCCACAATAAAAAGCAGTCCCTACCTCGGATCCCCTCAGTTTGTTAACCTCTCAGAATCCCGCGTGAGGATGAGCATTTAAGGAAGTTTCTGGACACATCATCCTGTCCTTGCTTGCAGGTTCTTCAGAGCTACTTGCAAAGAAAGCATCTCTCTCCCCGTTGCCTCTGGCACCTTCTGGCCTAGATTCTAAAATTCCAAATTACTTGGTACCTGGAAATCCTCCGTCTCCTGAATGCGATGTTTGCCTGGAGAGGATGGCTCCTGGCCACGTTTGAAAGTTGACCAGTGTCTTCACATGTGTCTTGATTTCCCTTCTGCTGCACAATTTGGAAAACGTGGCGCGTGGGTGAGGTTAAAAAAGGACTTTCTCCCTTCCTTTGCTTCTGACAGCAACGCAGAGCTCGGCTGGAACGCCGGATGGTTGGCTCAACAAACCGGTGGCGTTTTCCCTCAAAGCCCTTCTCCGGAGACCTGCTGGGGCTTTCGCAGAGGTGCAAGGCTTTGAGCGTGGACCTTGATGAGGCTCTGAAGAACCCAGACAGGTAGGGAGATGGAAGAATCATGGCCGGGAATGCCCTGGGGGGGAACTGCGTTTCTGAGAAGTGCCCCACAGGTGGGTCGCTGGGTTATCTGGGCTGCCGTTGGGACCATCCTTCAGGACGGACGACTTCCTCGGAGGAGGTCCGTCGGTGTGACAAAAGTATGGAGAGACACGGGCCTTTTTCTTTTTCTTTTCTAGATTTTTCTTTTATATTGGGAGCTTTGGACCCTAACAGGATTCTGTTGTGTTTATCAACGGGGCTGTTGACAAAGGAAACTTAGCTAGTCTTGGCTGCGGGTCTGACCCGAACTCATGAATGGGCATTTCCACCGGGTCCTGGCTCCCCATGTGTGAGAAGGAGGCTCCTCCCTTGTTCCCAAGGTGTTCTCACAGCAGGCTGGGAGCATTACTTCTCCATGTGACAAGTTCTTTCCGGCCTGGCCTGGGCCATGGAGCTGGACCCTACTGCAGAGGGAATACTTCGCTTCCCTGGTGCTTTGGACATAAATGTGCCACTACCCTCCCTGGGCTGACAGTACCTGCCTTCTGAGCACACGGTCGAATCTTCCTGAGCGTGGCCTGTGCCCCTGGGCGGCACCTGGCACAGAAGAGCTGTTTGTTCCACCTTTGCCGAGCGAGTGGCCAAATCCTCCCTTTCTAGGCCCCCCAGGCCAGCTCTGCTCCAATACCCCAGCCCCTCACGGGTGACCATACATTACACACATTTGGATAAATCACATCCATCTGTGTTTGGTGCCTCGATTCTCTGATGACCCCGGCTTAGAAAAATCGAGTGCTGTGCGTTGCTGTGTTTGGCGTTAGCCTTCAGCTATCTTGAACTTATTTTGTATTTATTTCATATTTTGTTTGGGTAGGCGTTTGAAGAAGTCTTAGAGTCACAGGCCCTTGTGTTCCTCAGTGCCAAGGCCAGGCTGGGGAAGCAGGCAGTGGAGCTGGGTCTGGGAATATAAGCAAACTGATCCTGAAAACCGACGAGGGCAGCCGGGCAGCAGGAGCAGAAGTCTCCAGAACTTGGTCTGTGCAGTCGCTGAGCTCAGCTTCAGGTGGTGGCCTGAGAGGCAGGGCACAGAAGCCTGAGGGTGATGGCGGTTGCTGCTGGGTTTTAGGACTACGAGAAACAGCCTATCAGTCAGGGTTAGAATTCCTTCTCTTCCATTTACTAAGCTGTGTGACCTTCAGCCAGTGGCTTAACTTCTCTGAGCCTGTTTCCTCATCTGTGAAATGGTGACCACAGCATCTTCCTTGAAAAGTTATCTTGGGTGTTAAATCAGACAGTGCACTGAACAGACCTAGCACGGTTCTAGCACGTGCTAGATGATCCATTAATGGAGTTTTATCTCGATAGCCCGAGCAACCGTTTTGGTTACTGGTCCTGGTGATTTCATTCTGGGGTGTGTCAGCCCTGTGCTCTGCCAGCCAGCAGCCCCATTTTTCATTCTGCCTTTTACCACCTTCCCCAAAGCAAGACACCATGCCTACCACACACAAGCGACACGGCGGGCCTCTCTCCTTGGTGATGCGAGAAAGCTGTGGGTCCAGAGGCCAGCTGGGGCAAGGAGGCACTCCGGGAAGGCTCATCACTCATGTACCCGGCGGTCAGCTGACCTAGGCTCAGCTCACATGGGCGGACGGGCTCTTCTCCATGAGCCTCTCGACCTCCTCCAGAGAGACAGTGGACTCACCTGGGTGTGTTCTCGTGCTGGTGATGACAGAGGACAAGAGGCAAGCCCAGGTGCACAAGTGCTTTCCAGACCTGCAGCTACATCACGTACACTAACACCAAGGCAAGACGCGTGGCCAGACTCAAAGTCAAGGGGCAGGACGTCAGGAGTTTTGCAAGTATTAAGCCAAAAGCCCTTTGAGTGGTTCACCGCAAGAAGTCCTTATGTCCATAAGATATATGGAGAATTTCCCCTTTTTACTCTCTTATTTCTTCATCACGACTGGGGGAACTGAGTCCTCAGCCTAATGGCGCATCTCCAGAATTTCCATGTGCCACTTCATCCCGGGCTGTCTAGTCCCGAAGGGTGACGAGGACAACTCATGCATTTATTCCATTAACTTTCCAATGGTCCTAAAATCAACCTAGCCCTTAAAATTTGCGGAGCCCACAGGGTAAATGGTATACCTTGGCAAGCACCCATGACACCAGGCAAAGGCAATGTGGTTACTTCTGTTGTCTGGCTCAGCCGACGACAGTGATGTCTGTGAGAGTAGGTGAGATCATGGGCATTGCCCACAGTTTCCAAAGTCCGTTGCCTCACTTTGAGATCACAGTCTGAACCCCTGACCTTGACCAGCGCTTCCCAGACGTGTGACCAAAGCCACCAGAAGGATCGAGGCTGGCTTGGGTCAGGTCCACTACTCCTGTTGGATAAATACCTCAAGCTCTCACTGCCTTCCTGGGGCTGAGTCACCGGAAGCCACCTTCCCCACTTGGAAAGGGCAGCATGTGGTCAATATTATTCTGGACACAGGTTCCCCCACCCAAGCCCCCTCCGTGAACCCTGGCCCACGAGGATTCTTGGAACCATTGGAAAAACAGCATGGCAAAAGTGACACTGACCCTATGCGGTCATCGAGTGCCCTTTGGCTGGTTGGCCTTCTTAGCCATGCCGAGGAGCGTGGGCTTTCCCCGAGAGCCCTGGGGAGACACTGAAGGATTCTCGGTAGGAGACAGGCAAGAGCAGATGTGCGTTTCACATGGTTCTCAGGCTGCAGCCTCAGCTCTACACCCAAGGGGAGCTCCCTGGAGACTGGAGACTGGCGGGGATTACAGGGTGATAATCATGGCTTGGGCGAAACTCACAGCAATAAGGGGAAAGAGAGAGGGATGAATTCACAAGATATTTGTCAGATCTAGGCAAGCGATCAGATGTGACAACATTCAGTACGCGGGCCTGGACAGCTGGAGGCTGGTGGTGCCATTTGCCGGAGAAGGAGCAGGGCTGGTTTGGGGTAAAACCTGAGTTTGGTTTTTGGACACATTGAGACTGGGGCATGCATGACCCCTAAACAGAAGTATTGGTAAGTAACTTGGTAAGTGATTGGTAAGTGACTTCCCAGAAATGCCCAGAACCCTCCCTCCCTTTCTCTAGCAGATATTCTCTAGCAGATATGAGCACCTACTCTATGCTACTGGACATTATTTTAGACCCTCAGTGAAAGAGGAGTCATGCAGGCAAGCAGATATAACCTCAAATACCTTCGTGGTAAAGCCTCCCCGCAAACTGAAAACAGGAATCGAAATTCGGAGCCAGCCATCAGACACAGCTTATCGTTTGCCAAACCGGCAGTGAAATGGTGACCGAAGGAAACTCTCGAGGGGCAAGATATGATAAGACAGATTAATAGGTGCTTTGAGGACACTCACACTAGAACGATACGTGTTGCAGCTGGAGAAAACCGTCAGTATTAACTCCAGAATTTTTTCTTTGCCTTTTCCCTTGAGGTTATGTGTTTCACAAATTCAGAAAATTTTCTCTGAGACCTCGAAGAACAAGCCTGTCCAAAGCAGGGAGGCAGGTGAGTGCTTGTCGCCAGTGGACTCCATCAGAATTCTGCTGCGCCCAGGGCCAAGTGGTTTCTACGGAAGGAAACCCGCTGATAGGCCAGGTTCCTGGTCTCTGAGTTTCAGCTTCTGCCCATTGCACACTGTCTAATGTCACATAGGTTCTGTAAATATTTGTCAAATGCGCCATGAAATGATGCGTGAAACCAGGCTTGGCAAACATATTTTCATATGCTAATTGGTCACAGTCGAGACAGACATGCCGGTGTAAATAAATAGGCTTTGGATCGGTAGACTAAACAGAAACTCCATCAAGGATGGACAGTTCTTTCTTCTCTGTCCCTTTCAGCTCCAACCAGTCATGACCTGGACATCACATTTGCATGGGTCCAAGAGGACTTTTTCTGATTTAGAATCAAGAACCAGGCTAGGTCTGTCCAGCTGGGAAAAGGCTCACTGAGCCTCATCAGGCCTGGACAGGTCAGGTCCTTAAAGGAGTTTTTGGTTTTTTTTAGATAAAGCCCACCCCACACGAAAGCTGCCTGAGGTCAGAGCCAGACTCCTGCCCCAGGACAGGCCAATCGATTTCTTCTCACCTCTGGGTTCTGGTTGACTTGAGGCCCTGAGGAGTAGTCTGGGGCCATCTCCTGGCTCAGAGAAAAGAGTTCTGGGGTGAAGTGAGATGCCTGCCAGGCGTGGGCCATCGTGAAAACAAAAGTGGTGTCCAGTGAGGGCACACGCTTTATCCACAAGTCTGCTCCTGCCTGAAATCACCCAAAACAGAGTAGGATTCTTTCTAGCCCGGCACCACCAGACCGTTTCCCAAGGTGACCCAAGATTTGAGATGCGAGCCCACATTCTGAACCGCAGCACAAAACAATACCATAAAGTTGGTGAGTGACAATGTTAGTGACAGGAGAGGAAACAGGTGCCCAAGCTCACACAGTCAAAATAACGGCAAAGTCAAGAAACAAGTCGATGGGGGCTCATGGCCCTCGAGGTCCCGTCTAGACCTGAGCTTTCACCAGCTCTGTGCTAACACGAGTCCAGCCTGCAGAGGCCTCCTGCCCACAGCCTCTCATGCCTCACCTGGCCGGGTATCCTTGGGTCCCCCATCTGCCCTCCCATCAAGGTCTCTCTCTTTTTCAATTTTTTAATTTTTTTTAATGTTTTGAAATGTTTATTTATTTTTGAGAGAGAGACAGTGCGAGCAGGAGAGGGGCAGGGAGAGAGGGAGATACAGAACCCGAAGCAGGCTCGAGGCTCTGAGCTGTCAGCACAGAGCCCGACGTGGTGTTCGAACTCATGTGCCGTGAGATCGTGACCTGAGCCGAAGTCGGACGCTCAACCAACTGAGCCACCCAGGCGCCCCAAAGCCTTTCTCTTTTTAATCACCTATACTATAAGCATGAGATAAAGCCCCTTGCATAAAGCCCCCTACAGTTTGCAAAAGCCTCCTTTACCTTATAATCTTGTCCCACCCCTGTAGCGGGGTTTTCCAGTGGTCCCCATTCCAAGGGAGGCTTATGAGGACTCTGCCTCCTGGTGACGGGACTTTGAGCTGCACTTTGCTGTCGCCTTTCAAGTGGGTGAAAATTAAGCACCCATACCCAGTAGTTTCAACAGGGGACTGGGTAGTGAGATCGCTTCCCAGGGGATATTTGCCAATGTCAGGAGACATTTTGGGTTGTCACAACTTAGGGGGGGGGGGTAGGGAGGGTGCTACTGTCACCCAGTGGGTAGAAGCCAGGGATGTTAAATAACCTACAGTGAACCGGACAGCCTCCCAGCAGAGAATTATCTGACCCCAAATATGATCAGTGCCAAGGGTGAGACATACCATAATGAGAAGTTATGGGGAGGCCCCCAAGAATATCCCAGCCAGTGTCCCTTCCCCATGAAGCCTTTCCAATTCCCCAAGTAGAGGAAAGCACATGTCCCTCTGGAGTCCTACAGCTGTTGGTCAGCTGCTCTCAGCCACTTATCTCTTTCTGTGTTGCCTTGTAATTCTGCTTATTATATCCCCCTGGAGCAAGTGCCCTGAGGCCCGCGCTGTCTTTTTGTTTTCTTCCTGGAGGGCCCAGCAAAGCCGCTGCCCATCTGCTCAGTGACTGTGACTGAATGGAAGGTGGGGGGATTGACACGTCTCTTGGTGGGGACGCCGTGGAAGCATTTACTCAGTACTGTGTTCTCTCCTCAGACGTGATTCTCGAATGTCTGGGCTCCAGATGGGAACTCCATCAGCCCCAGCTTTTCCAGTCCAAGACCTTGAGCAAGCTCTACCTGATGGCGCTGGCCCAGAGCACCAAGAGGCCCACAAAGGAACTGGAGAGTCTTCTGCGAGGTATTTTCTCCCTGGCACCCAGCACTGAGCCCCAAATGCCCTCTGGTCTGAGGCTCCCCAGCTTTGAGTTTGGTCATCTGTTTCGAGACCAAGGCCACTCTGGCAGATAAGAGCAAGGCCCGTGGTGTGACCTCATCACAGGATTTAACCTCAGTCTCTGGCCATAAAATGGGAATAATAAATAGTTCTCACTATGTTCCTTTGAAGCCTAGAGAAGAAGGTAATACCTGTGAAATTCTAGAACAATGCCTGGCATATATTGGGCACTCAGTGAATGTCAGTTATTTTTCTCATAACAACCCAGTTCTGGCCAGCTGAGGTGGAGACTCTCCCTGCTTCTTTGAGAAGAACAAACAGTGGTGTGGAGTCTCCTGATGAGTTTTCTGGAAGGAAGGCATAGTTGTCACATCTGGCCCGATATGCTGGTTAGAGGTTTACATGTTGTACGTCGATGTTATGTTTCCTTTGCTTTCTCTTTTCCTAACTTCACGTCATTCCATAACGTATTCAGGCCATTTCTTTCTTTCTTTCTTTTTGTCCTTTTCAACCCTCATAATCCCCAGGCTCCCCTTCTGTGCCCCCTAAGTCCTTCTCCAGATGCACTGCCTTCTTTGGGCGATAAAGTTTGGCATCACTTCAGGACGACTCATAAGCAGGGACCATGGAAAAATTCAAGGTTTCCAAAGGCAGCCAGCATGCCAGTCAGGACGGGACTGCACTTCCAGGATGTGGCAGCAAAGTTCTGTTATTCTCCGGCCGGACAGGCTGGCTGAGCCCCCAGCTGCTGCCGCACCCTGAGCCTGGAGAGAGGGCCTGGCCAGGAGGCCTCTGACTCAGTCCTTCCTCGCAGAGCTGGGAGCTGAGAGCAGGCTGCGGCATTCCCCCAGGACGGTGACGTCCCTCACGCGCACTCACAATCTTCCCTACTCTTCCCAAATGTCTGTCCCGGTGTCTTCGAGAAAGGGACTGAGTCCTCCTTCCGTGTCCCCTGTGTCCGAGTCAGAACACTCACGAGGCACCCGGGGAAAGACCACGGAGACCCAGACATGAGTGCATTGAAAAGCAAGAGAACGTGGGCACCTGGGTGGCTCTGTCGGTTAAGTGTCCGACTTTCGCTCAGGTCATGATCTCATGGTCTGGGAGTTCAAACCCCGTGTGGGGCTCTGTGCTGACAGTGTGGAGCCTGCTTGGGATTCTCTCTCTCTCTCTCTCTCTCTCTCTCTCTCTCTGCCCCTCCCCTGCTTAGGCTCTTTCTCTAAAATAAATAAGCTTAAAAAAAAGAAAGAATTGGAAAGAGAAAATGGAATGACTGTTAATGCTGTGGTCTTTGATACGTCTAGAATGATCTCGCTGACAAGACTGGGCCCTGCGAAGACAAGCCCCCTGCTAGAGGCTGGGCCTGACTGGGGGGGCGTCAGGGAAGGTGCAGAGATGAATCCCCACTGCCCGGACTGTCACAACTTTCCGGGGTCTCTTCCCAGGCACCAGCATGTGCACCAGGCCCTGGGGACCATGTTCGCATGATGCTCAGCGGACACGGCTACCGGCCTTTGTGCACCTGGGAAAGCAGGACGCATCTCACAGTACATGGCTGGTCTCATGACCCCTGCTTTGGGTTCCTGAGAACACCCGCACTGCATCCTGGAGTGGTGGGCTATGGGGAGAGGCAGCCCCCTGCGAGCACCCCTGTACCGGCCACACACAGCTGTCCTAGCTGCTCGCTTTAAAAAAAAATTATTTATTTATTTAGAAAGAGAGCATGTGAGTGCAGAGCCTGGCACGGGGCTCAACCTCACGAACCATGAGATCTCGACCCGAGCCAAAATCAAGTCGGACGCTTTAACCGACTGAGCCACCCAGGCGCCCCCAGCTGCCCATTTTTGTCCCACCGAGAGTCCCAGATTAGCTGTGCTTTGGCAGGACATGCTTCTTCTCTAGGAAGAACCCCAAGGAAGAAACAGTGCTCTTTTCCTGAAAAGGAACCACCTTGGTTTCAGAGAACCTCAGAAGCACACAATTCAGCTATTACTTTCCTATTCGATTTTGAGGTTCTACATAAAACAGAGGGAAAGTTGAAGTTCTGTCTTCCACTGACTCTGACCCAGTCAATGATATTCCTTTCTTCCTTCAACAAATGTCGGGTGCTTAACCCCTCCTAAGCATGGTCCTAGGAACTCTGTCAGGAGGTTGGGGGACAGACAAGCCAACCCAAAATGACGATAAAGCCCAATAAATAGCATGACCCATGATGATACGAACTGCCACTTCCGGAGTGCCTCGTCGGTGCCCAGCACCCGTGCAGCCATCCCAGTCAGTGCCCCCAGTGGAGGTGGACAGAATGCAGCGCGCAGGCGAGAGGCGGTGCTGAAATCCTGGAGAAAAATGATTCAGAGAAGAGAACAAGGCTCAATAAATATTTGCCAAATGAGAGCCTGAACAGAGCCAGGTGCCGTGAGTGTGGTGAGGGGGCCTTGCACGTCTGAGGAAAATGAATCTATTCTCCCTTTCTCTCTGCGGTCTTCGTAGTTGAACAGCGTGGCATCCTTTTTTGGATCCTGACTCGTGTCATTTTTCATCACCTACAACCTTGAGCTCACTAGGCTTAGGATTCTGGGGATGGAATCCACTCATTTACTGGGGACCCGTGTGGGCGAGACTGTGTCGGGTCCCGGGGATGGAGTGGCGAGTAAACCGTCCGGTGTGCCGGCCCCGCGGGTGAAAAACCAGCAGGCACGTGACGTAATCGCAGGTGGTGGTAACAGTGAGTCTAGGAGGAAAAGTAAAGCCAGTTTGGGGGGAAGGTGAGGGTGGGGTGCTACATTACATATGGAGGCAGGAGGGTGCCTGATGGGGAAGGGATGGAGCCCCGCGACTCTTCTGCGGAACAAGCCACAAAGAGGCAGGTTTGGGGTCCACTGAGCCGGAGACTGGTCGTCTTGGGGCCACTGGAGGGGCTTCAGCTTGATACCAAGGGTGTGGGATGCCGCTGGAGAGCTGAGAGTGGCGTGTGTAACTCACGTCTTAGAATAAGTCTGAGCGGCGGGGGGAGGCTGGCAGTGAATCGGGCTGCCCCTCCCCTGCCTCCTGGAAGCCTTAGGTGGCAGGGGTCCTCTCTTTGGACACCCGTGGGGCAAAGCTTCAACAGCCACTGGGTGGGTGCCTGCTTCCCACACTCATTCTTCAGCAGGGGGTCACTGTGATCCCATCCTGTGCCAGGTCTGGGCTGGGTGCTTGGGTGCAGAGATGACAGTGGCCCACCCCTTGCCCTCAAACTGCTCCCAGACTAAAGAGAGAAAGGGAGGCGGCAGGGAGAGAGAGTGAGCTCGGGAGGAGCTAGTAAAAAATAACTCGTGCAGTGAGAGCAATGGTTTCCCAGCTTTGACCGTCACAGTGGCTGTTTAAGAGCGGGGGCAAGGTAGCCGACGAGTGCACGGGAGCTCTGAACGATTTTTACAACTTCTTATACTTCTTCCACTATTTCTAAATAAATAATCACTTCAGAAATACATCTTCTAAACCAGCAAACAGAAACAAAACCTGGTGCGCTAAATGCCAAGGTCATGGTTGCAAAAGGGCCGTGGGACCTCCCCCTGTACCCGGCACAATTTGCTGCAGCTATCAGGTCCCTACATTCCCTCTTCTTTTTCCTTTACCAGCTCAGCTGCCTGGGAAGATCAAGGAAAGACCCCCCACGAAGAAGATGATCATTTCCTTGAAGATCAATGACCCCGTGGTCACTAAAGTTGGTAATGTACCCCTGTCGTTTTAGGCTAAGAATGCCATTGAACAAACGGCCCTCCCGGCTTTAAAAACAAACAACAGAACTACAGATGAGTGGCAGTGTTCAGTACTTCCTGATTAAAACTAGCTGAGCAGAGCAGAGACGGTGGAATGCAGCTAAAGAGAGGTGCTCATCCCTGGGAAAGAGGTGTGGAGGGTGCAGAGGAGAAAGGAAGTCCCAGGCTCATTAGACCCAAAGGCAGGGAGGCTCAGGTGCGTCCTCCCTCAGGGAGCACTTCGTGTGCCCCTTCCCACCAACTCCCATCCCTGGCTGGCTGCCAGCAGCAGAGAACTCACCCTCTCCCACTGCACCCTGGCCACCTGGAAATGGACTTCAGTCTTAATGAAGCACGTGTGCTGTCGCATGCTGTCATGGTCTGCAAATGTGCAGGTCAGGAAGCCATCCGCAGAAGCACCGGGTAGACCAGTTGTCCTCGGAGTGCATTGGCTCCCACACAGTGCTGACTGGGATTGGGGAAAATTTGGAATAGCCCAGTCCCTCTGCTCCCTGGTCCCCGGACCTTAGTTCTTAGATATGAAAATATCCGGGCTCTTTCCAGGCATCCTTTTTTTTTTTAATTTTTTTTTTTACATTTATTTATTTTTGAGAGACAGAGAGACAGAGCACAAGTGGGGAGGGGCACAGAGAGGGAGACAGAGAA